ACTTGTTTCGGGGTGTTCACAAATTCAGAGACGTATTAGGGCAAATTTTGAAGTCTAAACTGGCCAAGTTATCGAGGAGAAGTAGTGCGATCAACAGCAGCCGATGGTGTCATCTTTGAAATGCGGGAAATATGTGCTACTCGGCTACGTTTGTAGCCTTTGACAAGCTGCTTACAGCCTTAAGTCGAAAAAGACGACGCTCCAAAACAGAATCAGCAACCTTAAGTTGCTATCAACACGTCCTTTAACCAATCAGATTATTTACTCGGGAAGAAAGTGGTTGAATTGCACGGCCTGTCGCATAATCTGTGCCATAAAAAAACAAACTAAGATTTTTCGTGAAGGCCCCTTCCCCTCCTCCTCCCTAAAACCAGAAGTAGCTCGGGAATTGGCTTCTCGCCGGAACAGAGAAGCGTAGACGTGGTAATTTAAAAAAAAACTTTTTTCCTAAAAAAAATACCTCAGACTTTAGGCGACAGACTGTTCAAGCAGCACACCAGATGGCATGTTGCTCGCAGTTTAAGCTGACTGTCACGTGGGGAGTGACCCAAGGTCGATTAAGCGGAAATGGCCAATCCAGTCTCGCTTGTTTTCCCTGCTAATACCCTCACATGATGGCGAAGTTATTTATTCTAGCCAGGGAAAAAACACACTCACACAGAACCACACAGGAAGTGACCTACTCCCAGATGGTCGGTGGTCGACGCACCAGCACTTAGGAGCACCGTTAAAAAGTGTAAACAGACAGAGACACTTGCCGACAGAGCTCGTGAAAGAGTTCGTTGGCAGACACCTTGCCCGCCTTCACATTGCGTAGGAGGCCGATGAAGGAGTCCGGCGCTGCGGCCGGGTCGTAGTCCACCTGCTGAAAGTCCTTAGAGGTCACCCAGACGAAGAAATTTCTGCGTGGAGGAAACAGAGCTGAGGTGAGGTGGGCGCTTAATTAAGGCAGAGGCGGGGGGTGGAGGTCGGGGGTTGGGCTTGCACGTACCTCACAATCTCCACATCGGTGCTGCAGTCGAGAGTGAGTTCGGTTACCAGGTCAGTTATTAGGAGGGGATTGTAGTCACGCAACTGTAGAAAGTAGAATAACATGTAGAATTTTTGTTAGGAAAGTGTTCCAGCGGCAGGGTAATTCTAGAGAAATTAACCCATATCAGACAACGTAGAAGAAGGAAACATGACTGGCAACAGGCGGTCTAAAGACCGGTAGTTTAATTCGCGACTGAGGGTTTTAATACACGGAAAATTACTCCCTAGAAGGCAGTGAAAAGCCAAAAATTTTGCAAATTAAGGAGCAACAGGGCGTTGGCTGGGTGGCTCCCAATTGCCGTGTGCATCGGATGTGCCGGCTTTTGAATGACCTTTTACCGGCCGTTTGCAAAAACTACACTCTTCAAAAAGTTAATACATAGGTAGGATGTGTTTTTCTCATCAATTTTCAATGTCCTTATGAATGCAAATATATTTGATTGAAAAGATGCATAAAATTACTCATCTTTCGCTCATTTCGTAGAAAATTACGTCTTTTTAAAGTTCAAATTAAAGAAATAGTATCTTCCGGTTTTGAAAAGTTCCTAATTATGGCATTTTAAGACCTCGAAATGTCCACTCATAGAATATCGTATCTCTGCATTCAATAATGTTCCTTGTAAAGTATGCAATTTTGTTCGAACCCCATGAAAAATTTCATGAAGCCCATGTGGTATCTTCTAAATGACGTACAGAAATGCATGACTTTCGTTTCATGTAAAATATACAGCTTGTAGTTTGGGAACCTTCTATGCTAACGTAACAGCAGGTCGGGCTAAAAATTATTCGAGAATTTGAAGTTTTTTTTTGAAAATCGAGTTATGGTCTTCCCTTAAGTATAACATTTAAAGAAAGCGTACTTTTTGCAAAATGAGTAAAAGAGCGAGTATTTTGCGCATGTTTTCTATAAATCTTATCTTAATTTACAAAGGTATGGAAATTCAGAAAGAAAAATCACACTACTGAAGTAGCTTTTACAGACGGCGGAAAGAAGTTCGTTCAACAGACGGCATCCTGATGTGACCGAAATGTCTAGAGATGCTGCTGCATAAGCATTGATACAATAACAACACATTTCAGAATGATAGCCATGTAGACATCAAAGAAGTCAAGTCCAGCAGCCCTGTGCTCACATAAAGCGTTTGTACAGGCGCTAAGGCTCCCCAGCATACGCGTTCATATCTGCCACGTCGCGCTGTACCGCCGAAACATGGACGGCTAGTCGCCAGATACCTTCCCCCTCCCCCTCCCTAAACCCCAGACAGAACTAGAATCCGACCACTGAGCTCTGAACGCTCCTCGACCCTCTCCCCCCTAGCGACTATTATTGGATGCTCAACTTTTGCTATTCTGCCCTTACAGGCCTGATGATGAATGATCGAAAACGTACGTTTTCTGGACTCGACTTTTTACATTTCAGAATCTCGGTTAATATTTCATGAGATGTCACATCTCCGAAATGTTGGACTATCAATACACCGCCGAGAGTCGAGTAACATCACTTCTTAAACGGGGTTTGCAAATCAGAGAACGAGCTTTTTGCTTACTGTAAACATATTGGCTCCCGCGCTAACTAATATTCCAGGTCAGGACTGACAGGAAAGTGATGGAGAGGAGTCGCAGTTACAACTCCGAGTTACCAAAACCTGGAATTGGAAATCACAGGCCGGCGACAGGTAGTAGGTCAAAAAGGACCGTACCAGTCTTCGTTGTCTCTGCCGGTATCCCCTCCTGTATATATGCATGTATACTTGATGTCCCTACCGCTCAGTCGGCTATACTCCAGCACCAGGCCAGAGATTTGACAAACAATGGACATTCCAGATTTCCCCGGGGGTAGTTATTGCTTGTAACCGGACAACCACCCGCGAGAGCTGCATCAGATCTCCAAAGTAAGACTGAGTAGCCGTATTCCATCCTGCAAACAGAACAACTAATTCACTAGTCTAGGTTTGATTACCCGGCAACGGGCCGAAACCTGTCAGCTGTCCCCTTCAGTTGGTGATGGCGTCCAGCGGGTGTGGATGAGCCAGTAAAACCGACTGGTCAGCAATCTAAACATTGAATGGAGTTCAGCTTATCGAGAGGACAGTAAAGCCAATACTACTGATAAAAATGGTGGTGCAAGCGGCGCCGGGAGTTTTGAAGGTGTGCTGAGAGGAAGCGTATTACATACCTGCAGGGTGCGTGCCTCTAACTGGCGTAGGCGTTCCTCACTCGGCATGACAGCATTCTTCGTGCTGGGTGGTGGAAAGGGCTTCGGAGGCGGGGAGGCGGACGAGAAGGGAGACGGAGGTGGTGGAGGCTCAACTACGCCGCCTGGTGGCAACCGTACCGCGCAGTAGCCACCACCGTCGTAACGACCGCCACGAGACAGCGAGGCAGGAACCCCAAAGTCGGGCGTGGGAATGCTGTTGGTTGAGCCCGTACCGAAGCCCCAACGGTCACTTCTGGCGTCGCTGCTAAAGCTTTGGCGCGCAGCAGGTCGTTCGGAGGTGAGACGCAGTCCCGAGAAGGAGTCCCCAATGGTCGCCACGTTAATCGCCGTAGACGGCGAACCGGGTATCTTTAGGCCGAGATGGAATAAACAGGGTATTAATGCTATCCGGCACCGGATATATCATTGGCGCAGCACCGTTCGCCAACAGAAGGACACACCTCAACCGAGCAAGTACTGCAGGCAATTCAAAATAATTCCAAAAAAGGAGTTTTTCATTGAAAAAAAAATAAACGAGACCTTACCGGCAGACGATAGTAGTACATCCCTGCAGGCTCTCGGTCGAACAAGTGTGTCGGTGAACACCTCCGCGGCTGCGGTGTCGCCAGCAGCATTCATACCCGCAGCCCTCCTGCCGTTGACCCGGCAACGCGACAGAAAACACACCAGAAGCCCGCAGATGAAGCGCACACGAACTGCGTGGCCGCTCAATGCTGGTGAATGACTCACTACAGGTTTAACCCCCTGTGATAGCAGGAACTTAAACGGCCAGGACTGTGTTTTCTCACCATTACTGATACAAGCGATAAGGAGAACTGCAGGGGGCATTTAAGCAGGAGATGTGATCGTTGGAGGAAATACCCTATTCGCTTGCCCTTTTTGGATCCGTACCCGACGCAAGTGCTGGGCTTCAACAGCAACCACACAATTAGCACCTCCGAAATACTCTGGCACTAGCGGCATTGATGTGTAAACCAGAAAATATGCTGAAGCCAGGGACCGAAATTCACGAACAGAAGAACAAACAAGGTACCACACTAACTCGGTCGAACGAAGGTCAGTGTGAGTCCGAAGTAAAATAACGGTAGTTGGCAGACTGCATGATCGGCATCGTCGCTTACAGTTCATGGCGTCTGAGCGGGGGGGGTGTTAGCCAACAAAAAGCGTAAAAACGGCCGAAATCAGTCGGGGATCGAAAAGATGGGTGGGAAGGAGAAAGAACAGGAAGTCCCATAGTGCCGCAGGCACCATCGCAAGCGTAAAGGCAAACCAAAATGGTCGGTAGGGCGCATAGAAGAGGAAAAGCAGGTCGGCTAGCCGAAGGCGACGAGCAAACGGATTTACTGTGGACGGTCGCGGGGAAAAGGAGGGGAACAGAAGACAAAGGTGAGCGGAAGAGTAATTGGACGCAAAGTAAAAATTTGCAGCAGTAGTAGTAGTGGTGGTAGTGGTGGCGCTGCTGCTCGTGGTGGTGGTAGTAGTATTAGTAGCAGCAGCAGCAGCAGCACTAGTAGTAGTAGTAGTAGTAGTAGTAGTAGTAGTAGTAGTAGTAGTAGCAGTAGCAGTAGTAGTAGTAGTAGTAGTAGTAGTAGTAGTTGTTGTTGTTGTTGTTGTTGTTGTTGTTGTTGTTGTTGTTGGTGTTGTAGTGGTAGCAGCAGCAGCAGCGGCAGTAGTGGTAGCGGTAGCAGCAGCAGCGGCAGTAGTAGTAGCAGCAGCAGTAGCAGTAGTAGTAGTAGTAGTAGTAGTAGTAGTAGTAGTGTGGAAAAGAAAGAGGAAGGGGAGGAGGGAGGAAAATGGGCGGAGTGAACGGTGCAAGGTTAGAGAACTTACCGGCTTCTATCGATCATCTTCTGTAAAAGAGATAAGCAGTGTGGAATAAATGACATGGACTGACAGACTCTGGAAGCTCTAAGAGGAGACTGAAAAAAAACTTCTGCCGAGACGGGATTTGACATCTTGGGTCACGATGCTTAGTTTTGGTGAAAGGACGCGTGAAACGCAAAAGCAATTCATTTTGTTGAAGGTCGTCGTTTAATGGGGATCTAGCATTAGTGAGTAGCATCTTGTGAGCAGTACTCTTGATTTTGGTGTTCCTCGTTTCCCTACTGAAGGGATCGACTATGTAGTCGCTATTGACGATCCAAAAGTATACACGCGCAAATTATCTAACAAACATGTCCTCTCTACTATGCTTTTTGATTACATAACGGTAGCAGTTAGTGAGAATAAGAGACGAAAATAGACATGCTTAGGTGGAGACAGAAAAGACGTTCCATCGGGTTCCAGCCTCAAAGGCAACAGAAGACTAGGCCCTCCATAATGGCTGACTGAGGTGTCTCGAATTGAAAGTACCGAAACACATAACTTATTTCGATGTAACCAATGCTGACTTGCAGGCTCAGATTACGATATCTTCGAGCACAGCAGCCAGGGTGATTTTATAAGACTTCAGAAAACACCATAAGGACCAAACGTCTCACCAGCTGTCAACCTTACAAGTCACGGTTTTTCTAGGTGACGTAACAATCTAGGTCAGAATTATGAATACCTGTGAGGCCCAGGAGGAAGAGAGTGCATCGCTAACGTGACCAATGAGACGCAGAGCACGCTCCCGCGTGCTTGGCTTGGCAAGGGCATGGAGAAGCAGGGTTTTGACTTCGGCGGCGCGTCCCTCTAACAGCATCGGTTGAATGCGTCGAGTGAGAGAGTCCACAAGGAGACGATCCTGTTCCCTTATACTCGGTCGTGAGCGGTGTCGCTGATGCCTGCCCTGAAGTGAACGTGTACGCCTTTGGCGTCTCCGCAGGAGTTGGGGTGAGAGCTCGGGGTAGAAGACGGAGGAGGAAGAGGGGGAAGAGGAGCTGGTATTCTTGGAAGACGCTGAGGAGAAAGGCGAGAGATCCACCCGTCGAAAGTCGTTTGTCGAAAGGCTTTCAGTCAGGAATAGTAGACCCGTGGGCTTAATGTGTTCATTTTCGGCAAACAGTGGATCGCGAGGCGCACGGTTTGACAGTCTACGGAAGGACGATTGAGCACTGATTTCCTGTGTGTAGGAAATGAACAGAGGGCACTTTGGAAAGCTTGTTTCCTTCTGAAAATGAATGAGGCTAAACAGTCTTTATCATCTGAATAGCACCATAGTGGGCGCCCACACTCTAATCTCTCGGGATATGCGCTTCTCGCACACATAACATGCAATTTAACAGCTCGACCGCCGAGTTCAGCTATGTCTATCGCGTGCTTCACACTCAGGCAAAAGCAGGGATGGTGACTTGCGCTTAAGTTAGAAAGTGCGCCCACCGCACTCTCTTCTCTATCCCAGTGTCAAGGCAGAGTTAAGAAGACCGGAAACGGGAGAGGGCGCAGGTGCCTGGCATGGCGAAAACCCGAACCTAGGCCTACCGCCAAACCCCTGGTCCACAACCTACACAGGGGGCCATATTGAGGAGTAGATGGGGCTTGACTCTCAGCCAACCAGTCAGCCACTCCACACAAACACGTACTTGGACCGACTGCGTAGCCTGATTTTAAGCATTAGTTGGCGACCTTCGAAATTCCGGCTTCCAGTATGTTGTAATAGTCACAAGTGCGTCAGATTGTTTATAGGAATTGTGCGCTGAGAGTCGACCTCACCAGCTCTACCAGCTCTCCTTTATCAGGTGCACCAGTCGGCTGTCAGAGTCGGTCAACCAATTGGTGCTGCCAGAACTGAGAACGGCCCATCTGTACATGCCATACACATGACCCGGTCCCCTGGAGCACACTTCCCACTTATGGTGTGGGGTTTTTTAGGTGTTCATGTGATGCGTGTTAGTGGGGGGATGCGTCATGATGTGGTGATTTGGTGCGGGTTCTTATGAATGCACATATCATTGAATTGGCACATCCGGTGGCTGAATGTGCGAAGGCAATGCGGGCAGTTGAGGCAATGGCATTCGACGTATGTTGATTTTCCGAGCACTTGTTCGACAGTCTTCGTGCGATGGATTCGCAAGTGACTGAACAGCCCAATGCGTGATGTGGATATCCGGTGACAGTGTGGATAGGATAGGTCAGCAGCTGAAGTCAGTTTCGGTAGCTGTGGCGGCGATGTTAGTAGTGGGCGCGCTGGATGATGCGGAGCTGATCGAGCCGGGAATGAAAGGGATGATGGATGTGCAAAGTGAGCTGGATGTGCTGATACTGTAGCGAATTCCGCCGCCGTGGACATGCATGTGACCGAATAGGCCCATGTGGTGAATGAATGTGCATGGACAGCGACGGTGAATGCAGCGATATATTTGTAGCTCATAAGACAAGGAAACTCTGTCAAGTGCACAAGTAGGAAGGTTTAGTCTGAAAGCCTCAACAGAGGAAAAGAATAAGGTTACAAAATTCATCAAAAGTGATGCAACTGATTTTTCCTTCTAGTTTCTGTCGAAGATAGGCAGAAAGAGCATTAGTAATTGGCTTTTGCCTTAAATAATTACCGCAAAGGAATTTTTAATAGTTTGTGTTCTACCTTTCGGGCAACGACATTTCATACAACTAGTTTTGCTACGTTAACTACGTTGTGGGAGAGGATAGTGAGGAAAAATACTTGTGTAAATGAGGTAAATATGCAGTCAGAATACCGTTTAGCCGAAAACGACGTACAGGAGTCGGATCTTTGACGACAGGAAAGAAGGCACGAGGGGTTGGAGAAATGCTTTTTCCTCTATGTTCTCTGTGGAAACAATGTGTAAATTCTTGATCAAACTGATCCCGTCGGACTGGCCAAGGCGTGTAAGCCCGGTGCGGTCTTTTAGCATCGACAAAGCGTTGAGGATCCACCTTGAGAGAGGACGTTGGGACTGGCTCAAAATGCAAACCCAGTGACCACGGACCCCTATCTGTGTTGCCAAAGTCCGCCGACAGTCTGTAGGAATTCTGATGGTCACTTGCCTTCTTATGCTGCTTGCGTTTCGTGAGAAGGCGGTTTTGCAAGACATCTGTCGAGCTATAGAAGGCAGGATTAGACTGAATCGGTGATGGCGAGCATTTGCGGCAGGGCAGGCGATCTGTTTCCCCACTGTTCACAACTCTTACGCCACCCAACTTCGGCAATTCCGAGTCTTCAAGTTGACAAAAACTGGATCTACGCTCGCTGTTGGCGGGTTTCGGCACCGAAAGTTCGGTGCCAGATAGAAGCCGGGTGGGAGTCGCGCTGATACAATTTGAAGGACTATAAATAGGGAAATCGGATCCCTGAACGGTTAAACCACAAAGTGTGGTGTTTAGGGATGAAGACGGACGTGCATTGTTGTCAACTTTAATGGTCACGTTGGAGACATGATTATTTCGTGACTGACAAGCGCGCGTATTCACATTGCGGGTGGAGTCTGTTAAATGCAAAAAAGCAGAAATGGTGGCCTGTTCGCTTTGTTGAAGGGATTTTCGTTTGGCCAAAAAATTGTCAGATTTTAGACCACCTCGACTGTTCGATATGGCTGGCGAAGGGTTCCCAAGGAGAAAGCTGGGTTCATCCTTTCTGAAAGCACCAGAATTTAACTGTCGAAAATCACTGGCTGATTTGGACTTAAAAATAGAGTCAGATGGAGGATTTTCAAACTCTTTAGCTCTTAATTCAGCTTCTTTTGGTGACTTCGTAGGGGAAAAGGCCGTGGAAGTTGACAGTGCGACCGTATCATTGACAGCGAAATTGAGTTGGGTGAGAAAGTGGTGTCGGAGTTGAGCAATTTTCCGTTTATGTTCCGAGGCCTCTAAGGCCACTGCGGCATCTAGATTTGTTGTAGACGGGCAGAGGCGGTAGGTGGAGTCAGCCAAGATGTTATTAGCCGTGATCTGATCAGGAGCGCCCTTATGCAACATCTTGTTCAGTCTACCTAGAAATGAAATGGAAGATACCACAGACGCTTGAAGTAGAAATGACTTTAGAACTTATAACATTGGGTTGACTGCAGACTCCTTATTTTATATTTGTGGGGGAACAATGGCGTTAATCATTGACCTTGGATTATAAACTGGGAAACTTCCACTTGACACGAGTACGGCGACATCAGAAATGATAAATATGGAAAAGCCAAGAACATGAAAGATTTTCAGAATGAAACCGTAGCATATGATAATGACGCAGAAATTGCAGATGTTGGAGAAAAAGCGAACAATGAACACTTTCCATACATTCACTACCAGCACATTCCGCTAATTCGTATGCGGGACAGTTTTGACCCTATGCAATTGTCGAAATATAAACGCCAGCTGATGATAAATGCTATTAACTAGATGAGGCAAAGGCCTATATATTCACAATGGAGAAATGTTTGATGTTACCCAGTGTTTGCACTTCGCTGCGTAAACAATGGCTCGGTATTATTGATGCGGCCTTGGAGCTGTAATGCAATCTGTACCGATTGAAATTTAAAATCAACAATCGAAAGAGTAGGTATTAATACCATTTTAAGGCAAGTACATCACCGGAAACTGCTAACCGGCAGCAGTGGCATCAAGAAATGGACATGGCTAAATGAGCAGACGGAGACAACAGTAGACAGAATGAGTGTGGAGGCGTAATAAAGACAGATAAAATGGGCAAAAGCAAAAAAGGAGCGGAGTTCATTTGCAGTTAAAAGTTATTATATGTAGTTATTATAATAAGTACATTTGAGCGTTCGATATTATCGCATCCGAGGCACATATGGGGCAGCGAGCCCGTTTGGCTTTTCCGCGCCAATTTCGAACTAGTAAAAACCATTTAAATTTCCACGACGTTATTGCACTTTTTCCCATCTTTTTATGTATATCTTGCAACTAACGTTTTGTTTAAATGTCTCCCGGCTTGGTGTAACCCACTCTAGAGTAAGCCTTGTCGGCCCTTTCACGGCAGTCTAATGGAAGCATCAAGCATTCTTTCTTCAGTTCAATTTTGGCTAGTGCTAACATCTGCACATGCGTAAAAACGGGCACTTTAATTTGCAGTTGGTTTAGCTTTCCTCTTACTGGTTCCAGATGATTTCTTGCCTCAACGCATGCCCTAAGCAGATTCTTGCGAACAGATTTTAATGAGTTTTTCTCATGCGATAAAAGACCTTGTTTTACGAGCAGCGTTAGTTCCAATGGATAAAGTTTTTATTTATTCGACTGGATTTACCGGTCCTTTTTCTTCGAAATCTGTTCAACAGTTAAACTTGAACTGAACCCGAGATCTCTGCAGTTCGACCGTCTTATCTGACGATATCCAAATTGGCCTCCACAGCAAGAGCAAGCAGGCTTGGTGACTTGAGCGTGATTTAGTCCATAATGGATGTAGAATGTACATCTACCGCACTATCCCCCCCCCCACTTGGACTTGGTGTAAAGGGAGATTTATGAAGACGGGAGGAGGGGGAGGGAGCAGGTGGATTGCACGGTCGAGCCCGCACCTTGGTGCTTCAATCCACTCCCAAAGTTCCTCACAACAAATAACCAAGATTTTAAGCCCTAGACAGTGCTTACCACAGGCAAATAAAAGGAGCTTTGGTGCTTCAGCAACCTAACGAAGAGCCGTTTCATCGGAATTTATTATCTAGACGATTGTAGCGCGCACCACGATAACGCCGGACTACGGCCAATTTGACAGCCAACGTTGACAATGTATTGTTATAACGATGCTACCAGAAACATTTGAGTAATACATGTTTATGTAATTTATTAGGTTGGGCCACGTCGCATACCGCTGTTCGTATTCACCACGATGCCTGTAGACTAAACAATTTTACTTCTTTTCCCGTATCTCAAGTGTGCCTCAACTGCCCGCTGTATTCGATAAACAAGGCAGGTTAATGTGCCTCTAAATTCTGTTAACGCATGACATTCTATGTTCCTCTGTACGGTTTTTGCTATTCCCCTCGCATTTCTTCCATGTTACTTCCTTTCCATTTCCTCCATATATATGCTCTGCATGTAACCAATAGGGATTTCAAAGGTACACACCTATTTTCCCTGAAATATACTGATACTGATGTGAAAACACAGGCAGACGTAGCCTTATGTATAACGTTATGGCGAACAATCGTCAAACCAAGCATAGCAATCCCTGATGGAGGGCCTTAAATTTTTATAAACATGCAGTAGCATTGCGACCGCGACCCATAAATACTACAGCATCTTTTGAAGGAACCATCCGTGTCTATTATTGTACTTGATGATGGGTTCGAGCAGGAACCGGAAGCGTCATGCAAATAAAGTTCTCTTCCGGCGACTATGCCTCCTTCACAATCGAAAGGGCGTTGTCGAGGGCGTTGCTGAAAGGGAGTGTCAACGATTGTGATGGGAAGATCATCGGCTATCTTGCCAGACACGCGCTTACAATTTTTCCATCGTGCATCCCTCCAACAGCCTATTAATTTCATAGGATCAATGAGAATCCTGTGGGACGTTTAAAGGTTTCCGTGTATCCAAAACTCTGTCCCAGTTTCTGCAGGACGGTCGTCTACATAGTACTTACAACTGGCCCGACTTTGAGTAGTCAGAGGCGAGACGTAAAACACTTCATTGCACGTCCTCCAATTTTATGGTATTTAGCGGACAATAACCCACGGACAATAGGTAGTGTCCAGTGGCCTACAGGCGAAAGATGTTAAGCAGTTTTTCGTCGGTTCGGTAGTTGATATCGATCCTCGGCTTCTGCTCATGTTGGGCGTCGGCCAGCATGTCACAGCACACGAACAAGCGCAGGATCGCCGCGTGCCAGACACCTGTGCTCTTGCCCGATGTCAGTTATCTTGACGCGGTCCTGAAGTCGAGCCCTGGTGATCGAGGGTGGAGGAAGGCAAGATGAATTGCAAGATTGCTAGAACTACAGACAAGTTCACGCTCAACTCGCTGTCCCTGCGCCCACCCTGCTGTGGCCACAAAGTGGGCATCGTTGGTGGCGATGTTCAAGTTGCCTGAAGAGAATGGGGGCGAGAGAACAGTTATACCTCATCCATCTGCTGATAGCGAATGCCTAAGAAGAACCTCTGTTGCCCACCGTCATTGCTTCGTAAAATTGTCTTATGGTCTGCACAGAACGATCCGAAGGACGGTATTACGTCAGGATTCACTGCGTTGAAGGCTTATATCCAATAAACCGTGCAATATGGAAGGCTGTTTTCGTTTGCGAGTGCCTTTTCTTCAGTTTACCGGCCGTTGAGATCATGTCCATGGTTTCATGATGTTTAGAAACTTGCGCTGCGTTTCTGGATAAAGTTCATCATCTAAGTGCCTGTTCGGAAGATTATTTGGAAAACTACCACCTTTTTCTGTTATTGTGATAGTAGATTGCTCCGTACTTACCACAAAGTTTGTATGGGCATGATGTTGGCATTCGTGAAATATTGGCGGACGTTTCCTTGTCAGAACACCTCCTGGAATAGCAATGTGGAATTTTCTACGATTTTTGGGTTGTCGTGCTCGAAAATATGGACCGCAATTGCATCTGCGCCTTTTGCCTTTTATTTGGGCAGCTGCTGCACCGCTCTGATTGTTTCGAGGAGGGAATATTGACGATACAGTTTGTCGTTATTAGCCGTTTGAGGAAACATGCAAAAATCGAATTTAGTGCCAGTTTGCCGACGTTGTCATAGTAAGACCGGGCCCAAATCCGGCCAGCAGTAAAAAAAAACTCCTGACACAAAAAAATGAAAATAAACGTGATGGTAGTTTTTATGGTTTAGAGGGTTCAGGAAGAAAGACAATTCTGTCCATGAAATGACGACAGTCAATAAAGGCAGGGGTAGAACCGCATTCGATATTATCCGTCGCCAATACTTTTCATGAAGTTGAGACTGAATCAAACAGAACCACTGAAAAACAGCTGTCGCCGTTGGCTAGAGAAATTGTTCCTGGTGAAACCACGAACTTAATCGCCGCGACATATTCGGTCGGTGTATTCAGTTCGCAAAATTTGTGAGAGTTTTTCTGAATGCAAAAATCGAGTAATAGTTCTCCTAAATAAACGATAACTTTGCAGAGTTTTCACATTCTTGGGTAGTTTTTTCCAAAAAGCAATTACATGTACAGAAAAGAACCGACGGTATTTAACAGTACATGCTACACGAAGATATAAAATGGCCTCACAGTGACTGTTACGTCAGGGGTGAACATGATGTCTTAAAGTAGTGAGTGCGTTAAAGGTGCGATTATATATAAGCTTAACTAGTAAAAATAGTCCCTTTTGTAATCTACGAAACCATAAATGATCAAGGCCTGTAAGCCGGCAACGTCCTTGGTAAGACAAGTGTCGGTGTTCCAGAGTTGAAACTCTCTTCGTATAAAAATGTTGAACGAATTCTATTTTCCTCCGCTCAGCAGCACGCATGAAGCTAAATGAAAACGAACATTTGAGGTTGGTGGTTGTCGCGAACCACCATGACTGAGCATTAATGCGAAGAAATAGAGAGGCGCCATGTGCGGATCCCCTGGACAAAGGCCTCTAGATCACTCTTTACTAGCCCGATCACGATTACACGATCTTCCGGCTTATACCTGCACGCACCTTTCAGATCATCGGCATACATGAGGGGCTTACCATTCTGAAATAAATCTGTTTCGTTGATGTCAAAAAGACAAAATAATAGCGAGCCGAGTGCACTACCCTGAATGGCTCCACTCCTCACACATATGGGGTTGGAGATAACAGCGTAAATCTTAACTCGTTGTGTACGAGCGTCCAGGTAATAGAATATAAATTTCAGAATTTTGCACTTCTGCCGAAAGAGGACAGTTTCAAGGGAAGTAAAGCATGCTCAACACCATCAAAAGCCTTATTTAAATCGAAATATACCGTGTAAAGTGCAGAACCATTGTCCCTAGATTGGAGAACATAGTCAAGGAAAGAGAGTTGACAGTTGTCACAAGACCGAGCTTTGAGGAATCCATGCTGAGCAAAATTAAGTAGATTAAGTGACACACTATCTTATCTTTGATCAATGCCTCCTAGATCTTCGAAACTGCGGAGAGGGTGTTTATTGGCCGAAAGTCATCAAATGATGTAGATTTGCCGTGCTTAGGAATGGGCAAACTGTGTGATTCCTTCCACAAGGTAGGATAAGTTTCACTTTCAAGAGCGAGATTAAATATCTTGCATAAGAAGGATGGGAAAATCGTATTTGCATCGGCTTTTAAAATGCTATTAGGACACCATCAGGTCCTGGTTTATGAAATTGACGTAGACGCCAAATCGCGACGGTCACATCCCACAGAGTGAAAGCTATAGTTTCGAGTACTGCCCCGGTCAGTGCCTGGCTGGTCGGAAGCGGAGTGGTCTTGCCTCTGTGAATCGGTCATTAGCTTGGCATCTCCATGTATTATATTCCGGTGTCCAAATAATGCGACCCTGCTACCAATGCTGCTGTGGGCAGTTCAGTTCAGTTCAGTTTATTGAGGGAAATAGGCGTAAGCCTTTGAGTACCCTATTTGCAACGTATAAAATTTGTGGTGTACAGATAGATGTTCTGGGCTGAAATAGTTCGAACACGCCCATAATGGTGGGACAAAATGAGAAGGAGTTACAGGGGATGAGCTCGACTTCTCATCGTTCTTGGTCATTTCGGAACATAAATATGTCCAGATTCTTCTTAAAATTTGGTATAGATGGTGACGTCACAACATCTGCAGGAAGCTCACTCCATGGTTTGACCACCCGAACCGAGAAGGAGAACTTCCGCACATCCAGCCTGCTGAGTGCGCAGTTTTAACGGGTGACCTCGGAGGTTGGTCGTGGTAGCAAATTCAAAAAAGTCCTCGAAGGCCAGACTGCAATCCAACCCCTTTACAATGCAACAAGTACTCTACATTGGATCAGACGTGCATTTAAAATATTTCCTCCCGAACTTTTCGAAAAACTCTTTGGTGTCTTTGTAAGACCTCATCTAGAGTATGGAATGCCAGTAGCTTCACCATGGATGAGGAAGGATATAAACTTACTCGAAAAGGTGCAACGCAGAGCGACAAAGATGGTCGACGGTCTAAAGCATTTGTCTTATCAGGAGAGGCTGAATTTGCTTGGCCTATTCCCACTCTCGTATAGACAAATAAACTGCAGTCTACTCTGGACGTTCCGGATTGTTCGCGGCCAGGGTTGCTCATTTAGAGCAGAGGATTTCTTTGAGTTCGCCCATGCATGCAAAGTCAGGAATGAGCGCACGCGTTTAGACCGACGAAAATTTTCATTCAGCCAACGAGTTGTCAGGCCGTGGAACTCGCTTCCAAGCGAGATGGTGACGGCTGACACAGTTCGTGTGTTTAAAAGAAAACTTGCTCGTCTAGTTTTCGACAGAAATCGACTTGTACAGCATGACTACGCACAGCCAGCTTTGTAAAATCTGTCATATACAATATTCCGCACTAATTTACAGTGACCCTATGCACTACTTTATGATCACGATTGAACTGTGAACCAATCACATTTTAAATTTCTGCAATTTTATTGTATTTTTGAGTATGAATCTGCTAAAGCACTGTACATAAATAGGGTCATCAAGGGCTCTGCCTGTAACCCTTTAATATATACATATACATATACATAAGTTGCCTGTAACTCAAAGGAAAGAGGTTCAGATTTACTAGGCGGGTTGCATAAGGAAAGGAGCTTTGACCCCTAACCATCTTCGTGGCTCTTCTCTGGACTGTTTCGAGGCAGTTTTAATCCACAACAGCCCACAGCCTCCAAGCTTGTATGCCGTACTCTAAATGCGGCCGGATGAATGTTCCGAATGTCTTAGAGAAAGCTTCTTCGTCAAAGTCCAGAAACGCACGCTTGATGGCGTACAGTACGGACATTGCGCTTTTTGCCACCCTCGAACAGTGGGCGGACGGTTTTAGGGAACTCGTCGTAAGCACACCGAGGTCCTTTTGGGCTTCGACCTCTTGTAGGGCTGCACCGCCCAGAAAGTAGCCTCTTGTGCTGGCGGATCTGGCTGTGTTGCCTAGGCGAAGTATGCTACATTTGGCAACGTTGAACCGCAGGAGCCAACGGTTTGACCACTCCTCCAACGGATTCAGGTTCATCTGCAGTCCGTCTTCGTCGGCAGGACCCCGAATTACACTCCATATCTTCATGTCATCCGCAATCATTGCTACTTCACAGTCTAAATCTCTTGCGGCATCGTCCACGTTGATAAGGAGCAAAATGGGTCCCAGAACTGAACCCTGGGGGACACCACTATCGACCATAGCCGGATCTGATTTTCTCCGACCGACGCACACAACCTGGTGTCGACCCACAAGGAAGTTTTCGATCCATTTAAGTTAGTTGCCACCGATACCTATTTTTTTCAGCTTATGTAAGAGCCTTTGGTGTGGCACAGTGTCGAAAGCCTTCTGGAAGTCGATGAAGGCTATGTGGACCGCGTGCCTGTCGTCGAGAGCTTGGGTCCAGCTCTGGAGAGATTGCAGCAGGTTTGTCGTGCAGGATCTTCCTTTTCGGAACCCATGTTGGCGTTTCGATAGCAGGCCGTGAACTTCCAGGAATTGCATCAGTTTAGTCTTTATGATCCTTTCCATAACTTTGCAGAGAATGCATGTCAAGCTTATGGGCCGGTAATTTGTCGTCGCTGCCCTGTTACCTCCTTTGTGTAGCGGAGTAATATGCGCCAGCTTCCAATCGACAGGAAGTGTTCCAGTGTCAAATAACGTTTGAAAGAGCATCGACAAAGGCACCGAGAGCTCACTGGCAAGTTCCTTGAGAAGCTTGGGTGGAATCTCGTCTGGTCCTGGCGACTTCGATTCGTTCAATGCCTCTAATTCTCTTCGGACAATGCCTTCTGAGAAGAGTATATCACTGACGCTTGGAGTCGGCAGTTCTTCCGTGGAGGGAGGAAGGAACCTTGCCTCGTTTGTGTATACTGGTTGGAAAAACTGTGAAAAATGCGCAGCTTTATCCCTACTATCAGCTATCTCAACGCCATCAGTAGTCTTTATCAAGGGGATTTGGTGCCTGTTCCTTGTAGTTCGTAGGGAAATTTTGGGTTCTACGTTGCTTTTTGTAGCAAGTTCTTCTCAAATTCCCGCCGCGTCTGCATTATCAGCTTCCTCAGTTTGTTCCTCTGTGTCTTGTAGGTGTTGAAGCATTCAGCTTGTCTAGTGACGCAGTATTTTCTCCACAATTTGTGCTTCCTGTTGATTTCTTTCTTCAGGTTGCTATTTAGCCACCCAGGGCGTTTGTTTAGTCTTACATTAGTCAGTGGGCAGTGGTTGTTGATGAGCTGCAGAAGGACATTCTTGAACAGCTCCCAGTCATCGTTGGCACTTCCCGTAAACAATGAGCCCCAGTCAAGACCGGATAAGTCTGCCCTCATCTGCTTAAGGTCGCCCCGCCAAACATAACGTCTTTTGTGGTCTGGAGTATGTGAAATGGAGAATAACGAATAATCTCACATAAGCACTACGTGGTCACTTCGACCAAGGGGCGGCATGGAGGCGATCTCGTCTATGCTGTCTGGTGTTTTCGTAAAGACCAGATCCAGGAAGTTTTCCCTTTGTCCTTCACATGTTCTCGTTGGGAACATTACATGTTGTGTGAGGCACGCATTTAATGTTTTGCTCAACAGGCGGTAATCGAATGCCGATTTTGGACCTGACGCTTGGAGGGTATTCCAGTTTTTTCCTGGTGCGTTGAAGTCGCCCATGATCATGATGTTAGGTCGACTGGAAAATTTCTCCAACTGCTCCAGTAGTTGAGTGTCGGCGATTCGGTCTGTCCTAGGTGGTCGGTAGATAGTGAGGACATCGAGACACGGGGAACCGGAAGCCTTGATGGTCAACCAAATAGCTTCCGTACTGCACGCAAACTTGGCGGTGTTATCCGACACTGCCAGACCGTCATTCACATACACAACGATACCACCACCCTGACGATGTTCCCTGTCCCTCCGATAAATTTGGTATCCAGGCAGGGCTACTTCGTTATCGCTAATATTCCCGGACAGCCAAGTCTCAGTTACTGCTAAAACATCTGGAGGCAGCTCAACAAGGCAAAGTCTTAGTTCGTCTAGTTTCGATATGAGGCTTTGGGCATTCGTGTACAAGCACCTCAGTTTAGCGCCAGGCGAATTTCCCGTTGCATTTGTTACTGCTGTGAGCATTACTCCGTTATCGCGGACGTCGTGTTCTCTAGGCTCTTCCGTTACCTGATTGGTTCCATTAACATGCCTTGTTTCAGTCAGATCACTGGACGCTACGGGCTTACTTGTGTTGGCGACTTGATCAGGTGGTTCAACGAAGGTGTCTGTTTTAGTTGAGTAGCTGTCGTCGTTCGTAGTATTACAGGCTGGTTCCACTGAAACGGCATATATTTCCGAACTACCTTCCCCTTGAAGATAGCCAGGTTATGTTCGCCATCCTTCAGTCTTGATTTTAACTCCATGACAAATTCCCGGCGTTTCAACCGTTCCGCTGGTGAATAGTCCGGTTGAAAAAACCTGTTTGTGTGTGTTTCTGAGATCGGTTTTTTTAGAGAGGATGAACTTGATTTGCTCTTTGTTCTCCAGCATAATTTTGAGAGGGCGAGGTGGTTGTGCTACTGTCCTGTCTTCACTCCTTTTTCCTGTCCGGAATGCTTTCAGAACCTTTATTTCCATGTCTGCCGGCAGTAAATGATTTAGCAGACCATGAATAGAAGCAAGGTCCTCTGAGACACGGTCTTCAGGTCTGACTGCATTCGATTCTGACAAACCCTGAATAACCAGACACTGCTGGCGAGCATGGTCCTCCTTACTCTGTCTTTCCGGTGAATGCGCTGCATGTGGGCGAGGACGATATACGGAGTCATCGCTTGGACGCACAATTTTACTGTCTACCGACTGTCCCGAGCAACCCAACAGGGCTGGCTGTGACTTCAGAATCCTGTCATGGCGTTTCCCTCTCCCCTCTACCCACGGGTTTATGTCTTCGCATTCAGATACGTGCTCTGTAGTGCGCCCGAGGTGGTTGCCAGAACAAGAGGGCAACAGTAGACTGGATGACCCAGGTATATCGTCTCCAGGCAGAACAGAAATCCCATCACTTACAGCAAGAGGCTTAGGTGAGATGGCTTCCGCGACAGGTAATTTTTTGCGACATCGCTTAAGACATCTTGCGTGGGAATCGAGTCTCCCTTTATCGGCGGCTTCATTTTCATTGTCCTGCTGTTACCGGCGTCTGTGGTTTTGGCTGTTGAGTTGCTATTCGTGTTTGAAGATTCCCCCGAGGAGATATTTTTTCGCATTTTTTGCGTTTTGCTATTCGTTTTTGGGATTCTAACACTGGACACGTTCTGGCCGACTACGGTCTGTTTCACGAGCGTCCTTAAATCAGCGATATCCTTTTCCAATGTTCTACTTTGATTTGAATATCTGCGCACCCACCACAAGGCTCGTCTTCGTACCTCACACTTTTTGCGGTATTTACGCTTTTTGCACGCTTTGCTGGTCCTTGGCTGGAGGCGAAGGTAGAGCGAGCACAGGTCCTGTATGCGAAGGACAACTCACCGGACTTATCTTCCAAAGAGGTGCCGTCGCTGGCCGTACTACAACATTTAGCTTACTGAGAATCCATAAACTTCGACGTGATATAATAGGTATAATTTCGCTTTCGATGTTATAACGAATACGTCGGCTTATATATGATGAATTAAAGGGAGTATTCAAAACTCAATAAGCGAAAAAATACTTAAAATCCGATAAACTTTGTTGAATTTGATCAGAAGCGACTTAGCCCTTTCCAGATATCGTGGGACTTGAATAACTGCAGACCTTGAAGGATTTTGAGCGATTGGTTTTCTAGGCTGTATATCCGCGAATCGGTTGCGTAGCCAGTTGCGTTGTCAGTTTGACCGTGCTGATAAACGAATTGCACTTAATCCAGGTTCCTGGCGAATTTAGATGCGTGAAAAAATATTCCAAAAATGCACAAAGTAATTCTGTACGTACAGTTCCAGTATCAATGTCAGAGACTGTAACTGTGGAATGGTAGCCAAGTCGAAATTGTCCCAGTTGGAGCGCAGAATAATTCGTCGTGCTCAGTTGGGCTCAGTTCCGACAATGTAGGCCTTTTGTGGTCTGTTTTTATCGGATACCGAACTGCCTATTTCCTCAATGTTCCCATAAGTCCAGTATGACTCTGACATCTTGCGCAACCCAGATCCCCCATAGCGGTGGTCTCGGTGGTGGCCGGCAAATCCCTCGCCGTATTACCACATTAGTATGCACATTCAAGATTTGTATTTCCTCCAGTTTGGAGTTCAGGAAACTGGTAAATTTCAGCTTGTCTACAGCCGTATCATGCAAAGTTGCCTGATGTCGAATAGCCTTGCAGTTTGAGACCTATTTTGGCGATTACAAGTCCTCGATCCTCTAGTAGTCGACACGGCTTCGGGAGGCGAATCCAGTAAAATTCCTAAAATACGGGCTTAGTTTAGAAGGATTGAAGTGCCCTAGTATATTCTCTTCGTGTCGCAAACAGTTGATGATCATTATGGCATGCTTTATAAGATAATACGTGGCCTTGGGCGCGGACTGAATTTTGTTGACATGTGCCAGTGGTACCTCTTGCCTCGCCTTCACAAAAAAGTGTCCAAGTCATATCTTTGACATGGACTCCTCGGGTAAATGAGTATTGGTGTTACCTACCCAAAACATTCACGTAAGCTACGTCTTTACAATTCTTCAAGAAGCCCTTATGGTACCGTCTACTACCAGGGCTAGAGCGATCAGGAAGATTAGTTGCATTGACCTTCGAGAGACACCCTCTGGTTCTGCTTGGAGATGAAGCAATAGGGGGGGATAAAATGATGAACTTTGGCACCAAGGGTGGCGTGAAACAAGCAGGTGATGGCTGTGTTGAAGCACGCTGGATAGGCAGGCTGGACATGCCGGGTAAATAACCTCGGCGGGCCCCGGGGTTATGTTGGGACTCTCTGTTCTTGAAGATAAGCGACATCTTGACCAAGCTTCCTAAACTCAGACTGAAGATCGGAGAGGGAAGACGAAGGCGCAAATGAGGAAGTTGAGAGAACGAAAGGCGATGGCTTGGGAACATCTTGCATCTCCATAAGCCGTTTGGTCAGCTGGTAAAGTTATGCGGCCAAAAGAATGTTAGAAGCGGGTGCCAAAATGCCTTGCACATCCTGTGTAAAATTGCCATTTTAAACACCGGACTATAGCACAGATTGGGTAGAGGAAAGGCTGCTATCGGTA